GCCCTGGCTCAGTGCTAGGGAATCCTGGGAATTGTAGTTTATGGTGGCTCCCGAGTGCTCTCTGACTGAGGAAGATAAATGTCTCACAAAACTACAGATCCCAGAATTCCCTAGCATTGAGCCAGGGCAGTTAAAGCGGTCTCAAACTGGAATATTTCTGCAGTGTTTCGGACCCTAGTGTGGCCTACTGTTTTGAGCACTGGACTACGACTCTGGAGACCAGGGTTCGAATCTCTGCTTAGTGACTGTGGGCAGTCACACTCTCTCAGCTTCAGAGGAAGGCAATAGCAAACCTCCGCCTGAACAAATCTGGCCAAGAAAATACCAGCATAGGGTCGCCACAGTTCAGAAATGAAATAAACCCAGATCCCAAACACACTGCAGAAATAAATCCAGGTTGAGACCGCTTTAAACTGCCCTGTCTCAATGCTAGGGAATCCTGGGAACTGTAGTTTTGTGAGACATTTTAGCCTTTTCTGTCAGAGAGAGCTCTGGTGCCACAATAAACTACAGTTCCCAGGATTCCCTAGCACTGAGCCAGTGCAGTTAAAGCGGTCTCGAACTGGGTTATTTCTGTAAGACAATGCCTACTACTGATGATAGGTTTTGCTGGCTTTGTTACAATGATAGATTGACGATGTTTATTAATGGAAATGCAAGCCAACAATTTGAAACAAAATGGGGAAAAAGGACCCCAATTATGAGGGAAGAGAAAGGGATAATAGCAAAACAGAGGTGTTTAATTTAAGGAAAAATTAAAGGTGGATGTAAAGAGAGGTATATATATATATATATTCCTCTCCGGAAAAAAACCTTAAGGGTGAATCTATTATTCTTTTCTTTCTTAAATTTATGTTATCTACTGGTGAAAGAATAACGAGTAAGAACTGTTGTTTATTGCATTTTGGAAGTTGTGTGTATTGTTGAATGTCTGTAGAAAGAAAGGGGTGGCAAGATATATATAGACGAATAAACGAAGGTATGAATAAGATTAAATAATGGATGATGTTTTTAAATTGTACTTGAAAACTGAAATAAAAATACATTAAAAA